ACCAGAGTACTCCGAGCAAGATACTACTGGCCCACTTTGAAGTTGGATTGCCAGGACTACGTACAAAGGTGCAAAGAATGCCAGTAGTTCGGCAACTCACATCGGCAGCCACCCAAAACTCTTCACCAGATGATGTCGTCATGGCCTTTTTCCCAGTGGGGAATGGACATCCTCGGGCCATTCCCCCCCGCGAAAGGCCCACTCAAGTTCCTCCTAGTGGCGATCGACTACTTCACCAAGTGGATCGAGGCATGCCCACTCGCCAAAATCACCACCGAAAATGTACAGAGATTCACCTAGAGGAATATTGTTTACAGATTCAGAATCCCTCACACCCTCGTTACCGACAACGGAAGGCAATTCATCGCACAAGGCTTCGAGGACTTCCTTCGTGAGCTCGGTATCAAACATCTCCCGACCTCGGTAGAACACCCCCAGACCAATGGCCAGGTTGAAGCCGCCAACAAGGTCATCCTCCGAGAACTCAAGAAGCGGCTGGGGAATGTAGACACCCAATTTCGTCCGGGGGCATGCAAACAACGAGACAGGATTTTAGAGGGCCCAAAAGGCCAAACAAGCTGACATTAGAAGACTGGAACAGGCTGTTCCAAAACCAGAACGGCCGTTCCAAAATTGGAACGGGTCGTTCCCAATTTGGAACGGGCCGTTCCAAGTTTCTAAAAGGGCCAAAAACCCTAAATTGGAATGGGTCGTTCCGAAATTGGAACGGGCCGTTCCAAGATTGGAATGGGCCGTTCCAAGCTTATAAAAAAGGGGTTCAAACCTTTATTGGAACGGGTCGTTCCCAAACTGGAACAGGCCGTTCCAAGTTAAGAAAAAGGCCTAAAAACCTTTCTTTGGAACGGTCGTTCTAGTATACCAAAAGACGTGTTAATCTTGTCTCTGGAACGGGCCGTTCCAATTTCGGAACAGGTCGTTCCAGTTACAAAATTTGCACGTAACGGCCATATCCAGAACGGGTCGTTCCGATTTTGGAATGGGCCGTTCTGGACCCTTTCTAAAGTCTATAAATAGACAGCTTGGGCTCATTTTTCACCTCCAAAATTTCGTCCAAAGCTCCTTAGAGCTTGAAATTTCTCTTTCTCTCTCCTATTGTATTTCTTGAGTTTTGTGAGGCTTATTGTAGTGTGAAAGGTTGCCACAAAGCACCTAAAACCTCCACAGTTGAAGATCCAATAAAGTTTATTACGAGGTATTACTCATTAATCTCTTGTTTTATCTTTCTCTTCTTTTATTTTACATATTACTATAATAAACGCAATTATGTAGATATCTTAGGCGCTCATCGTGTAATTTAATTTTCATGTAAATAATCATTAATAAAGGGGATTAAATATTTAAACTATTAATTCTTATTACGTCATCTTCATCATAAGGTACCGATTTAGGGCGTTGTAGGGGTGCTTAATACCTTTCCTATACATAATCGACCCCCGAACTACACATAACCGACCCCCGAACCCAATTCTGGTTATCAAGGCCATTATTGGACTTTTAAAAATCTTTTCTTTTTCTAATGTTTTGAGTAAAACATTGGTGGCGACTCCATGAAGTTATTTTCAAAATCATTGATTAAGGATTAGTCTGGCGTTCGGGCATTCCTTAATTGATGAGATTTTCAAAAGGATGTCTAAACCATAGGTCGCAAGATCGGAAATTTTTGGGTTGCAACAGGGAACGCTAAAGGACAGTGGGCCGACAAACTTCTCAGTATCTTCTGGGCGTATCATTGCACCCCCAATAAAAAACGCAAGAAACGCCTTATAGGCTAACTTACGGAGCTGACGCAATGATTCCAGTGGAAATCGGAGAGACATCTCACCGATGCCAAGTCTTCAATAGCGAGTAGAACGCTCAAGAGTTAGCAGCTGACCTCGACTTAGTTGACGAGCTCAGAGATGAAGCTCAAATCTACGAAGAACCCTGCAAGCTCCGAGCTTCTAGAAGATACAATATGCGAGTGCGACCTCGCTCCTTCCGAGTTGGCGACTTGGTGTGGCGATTATTAGACGAAGCACGGAAAGACACGTCAGATGGAAAACTCGCACCCACCTGGGGTGGCCCATTCTGAGTTGTAGAAGACTTGGAAAATGGAGCATACCGATTAGAAGAACTCAGCGGAAAGCCCATACTACGAACTTGGAATGCCACGCATCTCAAGTTTTACTTCAGTTAACTTTGTACGAATGAGCTGTGCACTCTTTTCCTGCCTCAGTCTTTTATCCCAAAAAATAGAAAAATGGGTTTTGGCTGAGAGGTTTTTAACGAGGCACATATACACAATTAATAAAATAACTCATTCTTTTCATTCATATTCTCCTAGCTTTACATCGTTTTACCATAAAATATCTTATGCTAAGCCAAGGTCGAGTTCGAACCTTGACACAATATATTTTACTTTACGCCGGGGTCGAGTACGACCCTGAATCCATTTCGCTTAAATCCAAGGTCGAGTCCAAACCTTGATATTATTCATATCACACTAAAGGTCGAGTTCGAATCTCAGTATAATCCACTCAAGGTCGAGTTCGAACCTTGGCATAGTCAATCCAAGGTCGAGTTCGAACCTCGGTATAATCCACTCAAGGTCGAGTTCGAACCTTGGCATAGTCAATCCAAGGTCGAGTTCGAACCTCGGTATAATCCACTCAAGGTCGAGTTCGAACCTTGGCATAGTCAATCCAAGGTCGAGTTCGAACCTCGGTATAATCCACTCAAGGTCGAGTCACTACAAAAAAAAATGTTAAATAGTGGAGGTTATTTTGTGGAGGTTTCAAAAACCTCCTTAATTTATTAAAAACTATAATTTTTTTTATTTAATTTGCAGAGGTTTATAACCTCTATTAATTAAATATTATTTTTCCAATTTCTGCCTCTAAAAAAATTTCCCTCTAAAACAAATCCCAAAATCTAGAATTTCCCTCTTCAACTTTACAGCTTACCTCTCCAAAAAAATAAAAAAAAAATTGTGATTTCCCTCCCTAAAAAATCACAAACCCCACAACTCCCCTCCCTAAAAAATCAAGAAACCCACGGCTTCTCTCTCCAAAGAAACCCTTCGAAACCCTTTAAGCGCCATGACTTCCGCCGTGAATCAAGAAACCCGTGGCTTCCCCCTCCAAAGAAACCCTTCGAAACCCCTTAAGCACTGTGACTTCCACCGTAAATCAAGAAACCCATGGCTTCCCTCTCTAAAGAAACCCTTCGAAACCCCTTAAGCACCGTGACTTCCGCTGTAAATCAAGAAATCCACGGCTTCCCTCTCCAAAGAAACCCTTCGAAACCCCTTAAGCCCCGTGACTTCCTCCAACGGCGATGACGGGTGAGAGTCGTTCTCCGGCACCTTAATGCTCGTGTATGTCTGTGTGTTGTCTCTTGCCCAACTTGATTTTTTTTCCTAGTGTTGTTACTGTTAAGTCAGATAGCGCATTCGCAATTCCCATCGAGGTTTTGAATATGACAAATATAATACATATTATTATTTGTAACATGTGCGTTAGTCTTTCAGATGGATAACAATAAGTATAGGAAAAAATGAAGGACAAAGCATGATTAAGCATAATCGAATTGAACAAGACATCAGACGATAGCAAAGCTAGTATCAAGACTAAGGTTGATCTAGGCCTAAATCAAATACAAGATAAATCAGCTGAAGCCTGAGGGATCAGATGTAAGACCAAAACAGGTATCATATGAGACTAAGTCAAGAACAGGACAAAATTTGGCTAAACATCATCATGGATTTTGAAGTTAGCGGAAATACACACAAAAGGGGGGGTTGAATGTGTGTGTTTGTTTGAAGGAAGATTTTTCAAAATCATTTCGTAAAGATAATCATTTTTCTTTTAATATAAAGAATATTCAAGAACTGTTGAAAACTTGTGCAGGCTTGTCTGACTAGAAAACTTTTTGTGTCCAATAAAACTGATCATCTGCTTCAAGAAACAAGTTGAGTAAATTTGTTTTTCATCTGAAAGGATTTATCATCCAAATAAAATGTTTCTTCAAAAATAGTGGACAAGTGTGTTTTTGTCTAACAGTTTGTTGAAATGAAAGTAAATGAAAGACGAAGTTTTTAAACAAGTAGTTTTTGAGAAATAGAAAAAGGTATGCACAGATTTTTATACTAGTTCACTCAATCTGAGTTACATCTAGTCTCCTTCAACTGAAGGGTTCCACTAATCACAGAGGATTACAAGTATTCTCAACCACTTATGGCTCGTCAACCTTACTTGTCGACTCTAGTATTCTTAATTACTTCTGGTTGTCCAAGTATTCTTGACCACTTCTAGCCGCTAGCTTCACTCACTAACGCTAATATTCTCAAACCACTTTTGGTTCACAAGTATTCTTTCAACCAGCCTCTTCAGGCTTTGCATCAAATGAAGGTGTTGAGTGTGTTTGCAACTCTCATAGAGAGGATAGGATAGTTTCTACACTCACTAAGGTGCATAACCTCAGTTTTACAGGAATAAGTCTGGGTGTTTTTGTTTACTCTCATAGAGAGGATAGAATATTAGCACCACTCACGAAGATAAGCTATCTTAGTTTTTACACAAATATATAGGAAATGCTTTGAGTAGAAATGTAGCTTATGCTTTTTTGCTTTCTATTTCTTATAGCATGTTTTCTCTACTTCTCAGTTCTCTACATATTCTTCTTTTTTGCCTTGATTCTTATTAATTTCGTTCTCTCTCCCAGAGCATCATTTTTACAAATAAAATATATATTCATAATCCTAAATTCATACAGAATCACATAAAATCAATAATTCTCCAAACAGAAATAATTATAAAATTACTCATAATCTTAAGGGTTCTTCCTCTACCCAATTCTCTCATGTAACTCAACATATAAATAATTCCTTTTTCCCCCGTACCTGGATATGTAGAAGCTGAACCTACACAAGATCTGGTTGGTCTCCCTCGCTGGATTCCCCTCGGTCTAAAGCCGAAAGTTGAGGGAAAAGAAAAATAACTATTACTAGTTGGTTATTATTCTGTTTCATTTTGGTCTAAAATTATCATTAGTTTTTGGAGAAGAATGATATCTGCACTTCTATATTTAATGTACTGGAACAGTACAACAATAGGTAATAGCCACATTGTTTTAACATGCTTCTGCATTTGTGGTGTGACTGGATGATTCTATTGTCTGTTGCTCCCGCCACCATATTGAATTGTAAATTGCACGTGTATGTATGTGTAGGTGTGTCGGCTCTAATGTCCAAGCCAATAAAAATTAATTTTTTAACTGGACACCTAATTAGAAGTGCCTTGAGTAGTGGTAATAGATTTTTCATAAACACTAACCGTGGGAGTATCACATCTAGCTTTCACACAAACTCTAGCCCTCTTTGTAAGGGGTGTTAGTTCTAAAATTTCATCACCTCAATCTTTGGTCCTTATTAATTTTTAATTTATTTGTTGAATACATATATAATACGGTTGCTTTGGTTTATTCATTTTTCTAACTTTAAAACTTTGCTTCAAATTTTGTTCATGTGGAATTATTTTCCTTAACTAAAGCGTCGAAATTTTACATTGATGTTATATATGTGTCCGCGTGCAACCATTCTGCCAAAGATGCATGATGCGTATAAATCATGATTATACATATGAGAAGATGTGTATATTAGTTAGCTAATTAATAACAATTAACTTAATTCTATAAACTCTGATTTCAAATGATTCCCTTTTAAGTTAGTATAAAAAGAAAGTTTATGCGCATGTGCTGTTGGTAATTATATAATGTTATTGCTCTATCCCATATATAGATGTCATCAATAACTATGTTATAATAATATGATGTGAAAATAGTCTTTTCAATAATTATGCTATATTCCAATAAATTATGAAAGCTTTTGCACATTAGAATCTGCATAATAAGATTTGATTCCTCTTATTATTTAGGCAATTAGTACAACGTGGCAATATATCATGAGGTTCTCAGATAAAAAGATAGATTCATTGTTATAATGTTAATTTGATTTTTGATTTCTCAGCTTTTGGATACATAGTAAAGATCAATTATCTTAATTTATCATCCTCATTGACTTATATTGTTGCATTTTATAGACAGGGTATTAAACTTGCTCTGTTTTGATATCAAAGATTAAGGCTTAGTTATATTTATTTTAAATCATTTGGTTCTAATTATATCTTTGTTTTTTGGCAGCTCTGTTCCATTGATAGACTTATATTGTTGCATTTAGAGGTAATTTTTTATTGGGTGTTTAGAATTGTCATTATGATATAATATATGTGATATATAATTTTCTTAACTAAGTTATTTTGCTTTTATTATTTCAGCCAAACGATGCTTCAAGTGTTCCTAATACACCTTTGGATGCAAGAGGATCATCTGGTGCTAGCAACCCTTAGATTGCTTATAATGTATTTCGGATTTAGAGTTTAGTATAAGGCTAATTTGACAATGTTATGGATTTTATGTTGTACTTGAATTTATAATAGAAGTTTGAATTGTAAATCTTTGAACTATATGTTGGTATTTTGGTTATTAGCAATGGAATTTCTTCATCCATTTTATGTGTATTTTTTTTATTAAGTTTCTTATAAATATCACAAGTGAAAATGGGAAATTGTAATACATGTAGATTATGCAATTAAAATGAGTATAAAAACTATTATACACAGGAAAATAGGGAGGATTAGAAACTCTACAAAAATATATTGATTAATGATTATTGTAGTTAATTTACTTTAAAACCTCCACTAAATAATCTTTACTGTTATTCCACTTCAAAGCCTCCAGTAAAAAAACCTCTGCAGTTAGCATAGCTTTAAAACCTCCATTAAAAAATCTCTGCAGTTAGCATAGCTTTGAAACCTCCTTTAAAAAACTTCCACTGTTAGTGTAGGTTTAAAACCTCCTTAACAAAACCTCCGCTAAATACTCACAATACCATAGGTTTCTAAAAAACGCTGCTAATTGCTTGCGGGGAATGTAACTGCGGAGGTTTTTGGAAACCTCTGCGATTTATTTTGCGGAGGGTAAAAACCTCCACTAAACGTAAAAATAACCTTCACTATTTAGCTCATTTATTGTAGTGAGTTCGAACCTTGGTATAATCAACTCAAGGTCGAGTTCGAACCTTGGTATACTCAACTCAAGGTCGCGTTCAAACCTCGGTATGATCCATTCAAGGTCAAGCTTGAACCTCACTGCGAAACATCTCAATTTCGCCCACGGTCAGATTTGAACCTTGGGACAAATCACTTTGCCCTAAATCGGGTCTAAGCGCGAAGTACAAAAATACACAGCAAACGCTGAACGTGCTTTCCAAGTCGCGCAAACAGGAAAAAACCAAGTCTAAGGTGTAAACGCGAAATTAGAAGTCAAAACAAACTCATCAAAAGCGCAAAGGCAAACAACCAACAAATATATACATAACAACGTTTGCAGAGTTCAACACATGAATTCAAAGGAAAAAATCAAGCAGAAAAAAATAAACTAAGCTATTACAAGGGTGGCTTAGGCCGAGGCGTTCTCACTAGAGTTGTCCTCGAGGTCGTCCTCCTTCACCAGCTTCCCAAAGCGGACCTCCTTCTCCACGTGCATGGCGGAAAAGTCGAATCCCGGTGCGAGAAGCCTAGCCTAGCGAGCTGCCTTGAGGAATCCCCTCTTGTGCTCAAACACGACAGCCCGCTCAGTCTCCTCGAGCTTCTTCTCCAGCCGTGCCTTCGCCTCCTCCAGCCTCGCGAGGTCCACCCTCAAAGCAGAAACCTCCTCTTCTTTCCCACCGAGAAGGACCTCGTCGCAAAGATGCTTCTCGGCCGCTGCCACCAATTCAGCCTTCTACGAGGTGACCTCGTCCTCCAAGGGGCGCACTCGAGCCTGGGAAGAGTTGGAGAGTTCCTGCAAATCACGAACCTGAGCAGCATAAGCCTCGTTAGATCTCAGAGCGATCTCCAAAGAATTTCGGATCCTCTCCACCTCCCTCCGAGTAGCTTGAAGCTCAGCCTCGTTCTGCAGCTTGGCGTCTCCGAGAGTGCCCGCCAAGGCCCGATTCTCATCCTTTAAGGCTTTGTTCTCCTTCCTCAAGGCCTTGGCTTCTTCCTTCAAGGGCTGAACTCGGCCCCTCAGCCTGGCCAAGTCCTCCTGCTACTTGGACCACCTATGCTTCCAGTGGTCCAAACCAGAGTTTGCTTCTCAGACGAAGATTTAAGTATCTAGACGAAGTCAAAGAATAGTAAAGCACGTCTGAAGCTCATAACAAACATCGTCCTCAAATCACAAAGGAACACACGAGGACATCAAGTTTGAAAAAGGGAAAGATGGAAGAATAGGCAAGCGCAAATCCACAAGTCAAAACTAGGTATGTCACAAGAAGGACACCTACTCTTCAGAGAAATACAACACTGTGCATTCACACTAATGCACAAAGTACAAGGATGCCCAAGTCATGATTAGAGTCAGACATCAGAAGGAAACAAGTCATTCAGAGAAATCTCACGTATACAAGAAAGTGCATTAAATAAGAAGATCTACATAGCCGTGAAGAAATCTCCTATCTGTATCAACAAAAGAGTTCCCCGTCAGCAAACACATCCAAATTCAGATGACGAGTAGATTTATGTGGCCAAAATCATTCTAAAATAATAACGACAAGATCAAAGGATGGAAGGGATGAACATGCGCCAGAAGAAAATTAATAGCAGACGAAGGTGTACTATGCACAACCAAGAACGCAATATACCAAGTGAAAAATGGTAAAGACAGATAAGAAGAGTTGACTGTATGACAAGAAAAATAGCATAAACCAAAGAAGAACTCAGATAGAAATGAAGTCTATCTATAGAGTTGACTAGACTAAAGAAGAAGTCAATGCATCAATACTGAGACAAAGTTCAAAGTTATAAATTACACATTGACTAATCTAATCAGAGAAAGTCAGAAAAAGATCTAAAACTTGAGAAGCACATGAAATGATCAGACATAGACAAAAGTTATCATGAAGAAGAGAATCAGATCTCAGAGGAAAAGAGAAACGAGTCAAAATAGAAAGCATGCATGTTTCAGAAAAAGTACGTTACTTTTTCAGATAAGGACAACGAATATATTACTGCATTACCAGAAAAAGACAAACAATTACTAAGTCTCAGATAAAGTCAAACACTACTACCAACAGGACATAGAAGAATACACGCAATGTTTAAAGACATGAAGCAACGTTTAATGCAAGATCTTGAGCATTAAATGAAGGATCAAACTGGTCATGAACGATTATATCAGTTTCAACGTGCATATGCAATGGGCAGATTCCATGAGCCTACAAATATACAATAACCTCAAACATAAAGAGACTGGCAAGGAGCAACGAATGAATGACTATAGGCATTACCCTAGTGATGGAATCCTTACTTGCATGAACATGAGATGATGAACAAAGGAAGAGGATGCCTACTCCAAGGATCAAGTTCTTCAAAGGTGGCACAAGGTTTTAGGGTGGATGATAATGGAATGGACGAAAATGGAGGTCGGGTAGAACGTGTTTGAGGAAATGCTTGAGAAGGGTACTCTAGGGTTGGCTCACTTCATGATGATGAAGGCCACTTCTAGGGTTGTTTCTCTCAAGGTGGAGATGGGAGGGAGGTGGCCGAATTAGCCAAGGGTGACAAAGGAAATATATAAAGGCAGGAACACACGAGGACATCAAGTTTGAAAAAGGGAAAGATGGAAGAATAGGCAAGCGCAAATCCACAAGTCAAAACTAGGTATGTCACAAGAAGGACACCTACTCTTCAGAGAAATACAACACTGTGCATTCACACTAATGCACAAAGTACAAGGATGCCCAAGTCATGATTAGAGTCAGACATCAGAAGGAAACAAGTCATTCAGAGAAATCTCACGTATACAAGAAAGTGCATTAAATAAGAATTTTGTGTGAAAATTTTTGTAGCAGTTTTAATTCATCAAAACCGAGTTTCATATATGTTAAAAAGGCATTAAAACTCCTGGTTGTTAAAAGAAAAATAAGTGAAAAATATATTGCAAAAAGAAAAGAAAGAAAATAGCAAAAGAAAAAGCCAAAAGGAGTGAAAAACTAGTTTACTAGCTTTCGGTTTTTGGTGTGTGTTTGTGCTTAAATTTTCAGTCCAGCCACATGTTTTGTGTCTTATTTTCGTTTCTAATCTTAGCTTCTATTTTGTAATCCATTCTAGTGCCTTTGTTAGGAATTCCTTTGTGTACTAGCTTTCAAATAGTGTTTTATTTGTTGCTTGTCTTTTCTTGGAATTCCTTCTAGTCTTGTCACATTGCTTTCCACCACTTGGTGTAGCTGTTCCTAATTGTGCATTTTCAGTTTTTAGACTTGTTATTCCATCACTTAAGGTGTGTTGAGTGCTCCTTGAAGGTGTTGAAGGCCAAGCTCAAAGGAAGTCAATATTGGAGGCTTTTTGGTGGCAACCTAGAAGAATTTCTTCTCCATTGGATTTTTGGCTTTGAGTTCTAAACACCTAGAAGTATCCATCATCAAGGCTACTTCTAAAAGTGGAGTGATACACTTGTGAGGGCAACAATATTGGTGGCTGGAATTGGAAGAAAAGGAACAACTAAATTTTAGTAAAATTTTTTGTGAAAACAAGAAATTAGTAACAAATTTAGTGACAAAAATTTTGATTTCAAATATTTCTATTTCTAAATCCATCACTAAATTTGTCACTAATTATCAGCAAACACATCCAAATTCAGATGACGAGTAGATTTATGTGGCCAAAATCATTCTAAAATAATAACGACAAGATCAAAGGATGGAAGGGATGAACATGCGCCAGAAGAAAATTAATAGCAGACGAAGGAGTACTATGCACAACCAAGAACGCAATATACCAAGTGAAAAATGGTAAAGACAGATAAGAAGAGTTGACTGTATGACAAGAAAAATAGCATAAACCAAAGAAGAACTCAGATAGAAATGAAGTCTATCTATAGAGTTGACTAGACTAAAGAAGAAGTCAATGCATCAATACTGAGACAAAGTTCAAAGTTATAAATTACACATTGACTAATCTAATCAGAGAAAGTCAGAAAAAGATCTAAAACTTGAGAAGCACATGAAATGATCAGACATAGACAAAAGTTATCATGAAGAAGAGAATCAGATCTCAGAGGAAAAGAGAAACGAGTCAAAATAGAAAGCATGCATGTTTCAGAAAAAGTACGTTACTTTTTCAGATAAGGACAACGAATATATTACTGCATTACCAGAAAAAGACAAACAATTACTAAGTCTCAGATAAAGTCAAACACTACTACCAACAGGACATAGAAGAATACACGCAATGTTTAAAGACATGAAGCAACGTTTAATGCAAGATCTTGAGCATTAAATGAAGGATCAAACTGGTCATGAACGATTATATCAGTTTCAACGTGCATATGCAATGGGCAGATTCCATGAGCCTACAAATATACAATAACCTCAAACATAAAGAGACTGGCAAGGAGCAACGAATGAATGACTATAGGCATTACCCTAGTGATGGAATCCTTACTTGCATGAACATGAGATGATGAAC